AGGGCACAGGGCACAGGGCACAGGGCACAGGGCACAGGGCACAGGGCACAGGGCACAGGGCACAGGGCACAGGGCACAGGGCACAGGGCACAGGGTAACACTTACGCCCTGGACCAGACAACATGCCACCAACTTGCCGCAGGGAGAACCATATGTAATGCAACACCACATGCACAATCTGGAAAGTAAACCGCAGACTGTTCTGGGCTGTGGTGACATATGATCCAGGACTTTCTTCTGGCTCTTACTAGCATATGAATGTGATGCATGAGATCGAGGGACAGCAGGGCCAGCTCCATGACGAAGTCAGTGTAGTACACATAGGTGCCCTTGCTCTCCCAGGTGCCCTCGTGGTTCAGGTCCCAGAGGTGGATGGTGTACCTGTAGCAAACGACAAGACCGGGAGTCAGGAGCCCTAGCTAACAAACCAAGCAATGCAGTACTGGGTCCCAGGGCATTTTTCCCCCATACAAATCAGTAACCAAAACGTCAAAGAAAAGTTTAAACAAATAAAGATTATGGCGCTATCTTGTACACTGTACACTGCAGCTTTGCAGGTTTTTTTAACTGTAAGCCAGATTTTCCTCTTTCAGTCTGAACAACATCTGGATGTTATGTTTTCTTAATCAGACAGCTGAACTGAAGCATGCGGCTACATGTCAGATGGCACTCACCGCATGATGACATGACCGGTCCGCACAGTGACCAGCAGACACTGGAAAACAAAACATCCACAGACATTAGGATGACTATACAGTATTATAACGTCTTAGTTGCAATTTAACATTATGGCAGTTCCTGTACAGATCACAAATTTGTGTTCTTACATACAGTTATTTCCAAACTACACCCTGAATCTGTCAGCTGATTCCTTAACTAGCGTATGTAAACATATCTGAAAATATCCCCAGATTGGCTTAAGACTGCCTCTTGAAAAATTAACCACAAAAGTATTATGTGATGTAGAGCACAAAGGGTAAAATCCATCATGAAAATACACTTCAAACTCTTATATCTTGTAAGCAAAACTTGTGGGATTATGTGCATTACTTGAAATTTCTTTCAATACAAAATGCCGAGAAAGCTCTATCCTCGAGAGACGATCAATGTTGAGTAATTTAGGAGGAGACTGGTCGTACCTCAGCAGCCATGAAGGCCACAGTGTGCATTCCATGGGACAGCCCCACTAGCCCACAGACAAGAGCCAGCCCACAGCAGGAGATCATCATGGACACCAGCAGGGACAGCACTCGCACGTGGCTGCTCATGGGGGTGGTGGGCGAGAACGACAGCTGGGGAGCACACAGAGCATGAAGAACATGGGGTTCTGTCCCCTCCCGTCCATTTCTAAGACCGTTTCATGTGACCCAGTGACAAAATCACTGTATGCAAGGATTTGGCACGTCTGCAGGATGGTGCAGATTTCCTTCAACAAAAGTTAATAGCCGTACTTTCAGATTGCTTTACACATCCCACCATCTAAACCAGAGGAGCTGCTATAAGGTGACACCAGTCATAAGACATTAAAAATGAGGGTTAAACTAAAGACGGGAAATACACCTCATGGACTTCCAAAAGATCGCTTGTCTAACGAGCTGGCCTTGCGGGGCACAGACTGCATAGCAAATAACAGCACACACCTGACTTTTTGAATGGTCCAGTGCTACTTACATATTCAAACCGATCTTTGCAGAGCTGGACCATGAGATGCAGAAAGACCAGCACTGCAAACCAAAGGCACCACATGACCACTTCTTCCACAGTCTGCACATTCAGCACGCCAAAGATGAAGATAAACTTGTAGAAGATAAAGTTCCAGAACTTGTCCTTCAGGTGCTGCAGAGATTGACGGACAGATGCTAAGGCTCACATCAACAATTTTAACAGCTTTGCTAACACTCGTGCAATCACAGAATGTTGTAAGGTTGCTTCGGTGTTTAGCTGGCATTTCTTTTGGTGTTGGAGCTAAAATGGCACGTGGCTGATAAAGTTAAAAATTATTAGCTATAATAATTCAGTCCATAAAAAAGATTCAACCATTACTTAAATTAATCAGAAGGTTGCATTCAATACATAAACTTCACAGCTAAATAATTAAAAGACTGAGAAAAGTCAGACCAAACCATCACATTCAAGCTCTGTCTGAGAGGCTTCTCAGGGGATTAAAGTTGTTCAGTTACCAAATCTCTAGGCGTTTTGTGAATGATTAACAGAACAGACTTTATTGTCCACATTACCACTTAAATAAACTTGAGAAAACCGAGTTAAGCCTAATGTAACTTATATGTGTATCTCAGCATGAAGACTGACATCATGCAGCCTTTTTACTAAACCGGAATCCTCTTGACAATCTCGTGATGCAATACTGATGCACTCTGCTGTAACTGTGTAAACATGCTGTTGCACACTTATTTACTTAGATGTCTTGAAAACCCACAACATTTTCAAAACAGGAGCATACCTGCGTAACAAAATCACAGAAAAGGTGCCTGCTTAGTTTTGCGCACAATTAAAATTGAATCACTACAGTTTATCATAAGTATGAATTTTAGACCTCTCAATTTTCCAGGTGTGAAAAGGAAAAGAAATCCGATTCTCATTACCTGCCTCTCACTGACTCTCAGGGGGCCGAACACCATGTACTGAATCATTCTGGCAATCATCATCAGGAAGCAACACGCTGTGTTTACCAGGACCTGTGTTGTGGGGGTAAAACAGAGTCACAGGTACAAAAACAATCTACACTGTAATCCATGTGGCATCACCTTACATGTAACCTCTTCAGTAGTTTAGCGTAAAGCAACAAATGTGCTCAGTAAACATACAGCCACTTAGCACGGTTACAGAAACCCACTCAACATCTGTTTGCACAAAATCTGAAGTTAATCCAAGCTCCTGCACGATCGAATTGTTCAGTTGACATGAAGTCATGTTTTTTTTTTTCTGCAACAAATAAACATTGACTGTTCTCATCAGCTCCCATGCCTGTGGAAACTTGAGCACTGCTGGTATTCCGATTAGTCCTAATTTTAGTTAAATCACTTGGCATTCATGGACTGCACCCTGGAACTTCAGAATATTAAGAATGGCGAGAAGCCAAACGAGTCCAGTCAAACAATTTGGCTTGTTAGGTGTCTATTTCTGTTTTACCGTTTTAAATGCACTTTCACACAGTTTCCATTTGTGCTCTCTGGTTCATGTTGCACTGTTGATACTGAAGATTTCTAAAATTTGAATCAGGCTCCTTGAAGTCTTCTCTGTTCCAAGACAAAAAAGGTCTTACCTAGGCTGATCCCAGAGCAGAAATATATTTTTATAAAGTGGTGACCAAAGCACCTTGAGATACTTTAACTTGAAAGGCAGCAGATAAATAAATAATACTCTCAACAGGAGTACGGGAACCGAACAACGGCATCACAGTTAGAATGACACTGTCAATTGAATTTGAAAATACTAAATGAACACATACCACCCCTTTAAAATGAATAACGTAAAACACAATACACATCTGCATTGGATTCCTGCTTTGTCTACCTACATACCCAAACAAAAAAGCTGTCCGAAACGAGGTACCACAGCACATCTGCAGCGACTCCGTTCCCGACGCCGTCAATCTGGTTCTCGTCCTGACCCGGGGTGGGGTGGGGGTCTCCGGCTTCAGGCAGGCTGTAGCCCGGCTCGGTCACCGTGCTGTAGGCGCTGAGGATGCTCCCAGCCAGCAGGACCGCGCTCAAGCCCGTGTAGGTCCGCAGGCTGGGCCACGGGAACCGCTCCAGGAACAGCAACGGCATCCTGGCGCTCGACCGGCTCCGAGTTCAATAAATACAATCGGTTTCAATACCTTGTTTCACGGACTCGACACCGCGGAGATGCGATCAATAACGGTTTAAATTGGTTCTTTTTATTGAAGTAAAACGTTGTAAAAAAAAAACCCAGTCAAACTAATTAAGAGTGACAGATTCAGGCCGGACGGACTACATGAGGATAAGCCAGTTCAAAGTTGTTGTCGATATATCGCATTCTGCGACATGGGGGTGTTGTAACCCTGCTAAATCCTGATGATTTTCTCGGATAACTGCAGGCACTTGTGTTGATTTTGCTAATGAGTAAAAACGGGGCGGTTTTTTCTTACTCTCTGGCCTCGATATTACTAGTGTTTCCAGATGGATCCAGTTACTGCTTCAGCAGCAGACTTGCACAATCCTTCCGTGGCCCTGTTATACAACACAACAGCTTCGACAGGCTGACAGCACAACGGTTTCACAGCTGCTTGAGGACCGCGGCCCCGACGACTAGATGCAGACGTTATCTTAAGATTAAATACACTTTTTTAAGAGTCCATCTGATACGTTTTCCCTCCACTATGATGCGGGTAAGGTTTAGTTGACTTGGCACCGGCCAGGGTCGAACAAACTATGTCAGCGACCTCCGTACTTTTTTACAAATTCGGTCTCCTCCACTCTTTTCTCTACTCGTCCTCTCAGTAGATGCAAAACGAGTCTGGCAGTGTTTATTTTTATTCCACAGTCCGTCTCCAGTTTCTAATTCTCGGAGTTTCCATCTGAGCTCCTCTTTTCCGGTTTGCGTCAGCGTCACTCAAGCCCTCCTTCCGGTTGTGCTGCCATAGAGTCGCTAATTCGTGACAGATTAGTCAATAGAAACTAAAAAAAAAACATTTCCAAATACTCTCTTAGAATTTAATGGATAATCCATTGTTGTGATCGATATTTTAGGTTACAATAACAATTAATTTTAACTATTCTTAAGTTTGGAAATGCTCATCCAATAAAGTTCTTACATTAATCCTACTAATTTACCACAAAAAAGAAAGAGGAGAATTAAGGAATAATGAATATGGGGAATTATGGGAATGATGAGTTCCGCAACACACAGTTCTATAATGTAAGACTTATCTTTTTTTTTTACTTTTTGAATTTCAAAATCACTCGCATCACTTCCGTGAGCGCAGGGGATAAGGGTTTGTGTCCCCTTATTTCAGAATATTTTTTATATATGTCGCCAGAGTCTTACTTTTCATAGATTTTCTATGCAAATTCTTATTTTCATAGATCTCCTATGCAAAATGCTCGGTTTTGAAACTGGTGTCGGCTAGTGGCGAAGAGCAGACGGCCCTGAACCATTTCGTAAGAAAGGCTGTGGCAGCTTGGATCACTCTGGGAGTAAATATTTTAAGAGAGACTTGAAAGCAGAACTGCCTGGCTGGAGAAAAACCGAGATTAGAAGCTGGTGCCATTCATTCTCCCCAGAGACATGATGAGCTCTGATGTTGTCTTTCAGACCTGTTTCCCCTCTCCTCCCAAAGGCAAGCAGGAGAGTTTTCATAGGTTAAGACAAAAAAAAACATTCCTTCAGGACCTGACACTGTTCCAACTGTTCCAATAGTCCAACGAATACAGCATAGACTGTTGTATCTCTGTCATTACATAGCTTTTTGTATTAATCATTATTTCAACAGAAAGTCAAATTGTCAGAAAGTTACCAAATCCAGGTGAGGGACAGCTGGTCTCTGGGACTAGGCTGACTTTAAATTGGCGTGGACTGACCAGTGTCTGACACTCGGACTTTTCCTTTGGGGCATTTGGTCCTGGAACTGTTCTGAGAGGAAGTACCTCTGGTGGATAAGTAGTGTCATAGGTCCTGTGTAGATTGAGAAACTGTAATAAAAAGGTGTAATTATGTTGGATAAGTGTTTTGTCTGTGGGGACACTGGTGATTCATAAATAAAAGGAACCTATTGTGAGAGAAAAGGGTCCTAAGATCCTGAGAATGACTAAGCTAGAGGTGGCTTAGTCGGCTACAAAACAAAAGCAGTTTCTGCAATTAGGGGTTACCGTCTGTCACAAAAATTTCACTAACTATAAAATATGAACTGAACGTCACGCTTGCGAATCGCAGCACGTCTCGTTTTCAACGCCTTCGCTACGTCGGGACGCGCAAACCATTTTGGCCCAGGCGGCGCCCCGTCCTGTGACGTACAGCGGTGTTATTGTCACGTGACGCCGAGGCGGCCCAGTTCCTGAGGGGCTGGAGCTGGTCGTGCAACATGGTTAACTGATAAGTCGTTCAAGTAGGAGTGTTGACGGTTGTGTTTGGCGAGGGAAAGTTATATCGGTTTTTGTGGATTCGCTGGACCTTGAGGTACAATCTGCCCTCTTTTCGGTGACTGTGCAGCCTGTTTTGCACAGTAAAACTCACTTGAGTGGCGGTGCAATTGAGTTCTGCTGCTTCCGAGGTGTTAATACTTGTCTTAATCAGGGCGAGCCAGCGCCTCTCAGTCCTGCAGTGACATACCAGTGTTTCATATGCGATTGTTGTACGTCTTGTTAAATACAAACATGTATTTCATTTCAACAGACAAGAAGATGGTCAATCTTTGTAGGGACCTGTGCAATGAATATTAATTGTCGATCACGCTGAGCTTATGACAATGTAAGACATACTGAATAAGTTAAAACAAATTAAATACGTCTCGCAACCCGGGGTTTTGTATTAAGGAACACGTTAAGCAATCATCGGTTTCATGAAAACGTCAGTTAAATCGATAAACTGTTTTATATAACCCCCCCAGAAGCAATCGTCTGTAAGTGTTTATATTTAAGGGCCAAACTAAACGTGTAAAAAAGTGCTTTGAGTTGAGTGTCCAGAAAAGCGCTATAGACGTGTAAGGAATAATTATTAGAACCATGCAGGATGTTCAGTCATCACAGTTACTTAGCAGAACTTCAGCCTGCACCTTTCCTCCTCTTTCTAGCACCATGATCCTTCACTACTGCCCTCAGTGCGGCTCCAAGCTGCAGGCGGGCTTCAAGTTCTGTCCGTCCTGCGGACAGAAGCTGCCCACTGAGGACCCTGAAGAGGCTGCAGCCTCAGCGATCTCACAGGTGACCACCAGCGACCCCCCAGGTACGGGACGTCAGCGTGCGCCTTGCTGAAAGAGAGACACCGCTCGGAGAAGCGGCTTGTGCTTGGATGTCTCCGTGCTTTTGATTTGAGTTACACGGGGCGGGGGGGAGGTTGGCTTTTGAATGACTGTGGAATGGTTACCATTCCATCTCAGAGTAAATAGGTTTCCATCAAAAAAGAGCAAGTAGACGTGTCTGTGGTGTCTTTTAAGATTTACACAGAGCAATTTACCTAAATCTCGATAGAGACTCATTATATACTGTAGATTTGTAATTTAATAAGTTTCTAACCAATGCATTTCCAACATTTCATTCCTGTTCACTAATTGTGAAAATAGCACTCCAGTAAAGATGAACCCACTTACTCTTAGTTACTTTTCATCCTTCACTTCTGAAGGTAATTATGCTACTCTTGAGTAACTTACGGTGTTAAAGTAAAATGTCACAAAGGCTATTAGTGAAAATTGGTGGGCCAATATTGTAGTTTACTGTGTGTTTCAAGCGTTGTGCTTTTATTGCACTTTCTCTTTGCTTTCCAAGTCTTCACATGGTTTGAGTCTTGACTCATTAAACATCACTGTGCTCTGTTCTTTCTGACTTCCCTCACTGCCCTGCTCCTTCCCATACTCCTGTGCATGTTTAATTAGACATCCTGCAGGGTACAAGGGCAAGGGCAGCTGTTTCAAAACCCTGGCGTGTGTTTCGTTCCTCTGCAGGTCAGAGCAGCCCCGCTCACGCCCCATCGCTCACTCCACCTCGCCGGACACGGCTGACGGCCGCCAAGGTCAAGGTGGAAGAGGAGGTCAGCTCCAGGACAGCTGCCTCCCTATCGAAATCCCCCAAGAGCCTCCCTGGAGGTAAGCAGGGTGGCCAGCCGGAAGCAGCAGTGAGTTGTGACACTGGGCGGTAATAATATAATAATAATTGCTTACACTTCTATAGCTCTTTTCTGGACACTCCGCTCAAAGTGCTTTACAGGTAATGGGGATCCCCTCCACCACCACCACCAGTGTGCAGCATCCACTTGGATGATGTGACGGCAGCCATAGTGCCCCAGAACGCTCACCACACATCAGCTATAAGTGGGGAGGAGAGCAGAGTAATGAAGCCAATTCATAGATAGGTAACGCAGTGGTGCACAGCTGCATGTACAGCATTCCTTGTCTTTCCCTTTGCTGAATGTGTTGTGCGTCTAGACATGGGCACGTTCAAGCACAGCAGCCATGGCTCACGGCCCTGACGCGTGGTCTCTGTTGTGTAGCTAGCCGTGCCCCGCTGTCACCGCGCAAACGCCAGGCATCCCCAAGAGTCAAGCAGGAAGAGGAGAGCACCGCTGAGGCCTCACCCTCTCCTAAATCCCCCCTTGGGGGTAAGTGGACACTTCGGCTGTGGAAAAGGGGGGGAGCTTCAGCCACAATGCTGGCACGCGCTGCAGATAGAGAAGGCCTTTCAGAGGCTCCAGTACAACTGATTTGGGAAATAACCCTGCTGGCCTTCCTGCATCTCCGCTGTGCAGACCACACCAACGTGGGACTGAACAGGGAACGAGAGGAAGACGGGGCAATCGAATGTCAGAACGCAGATTTTGCAGAGTTCCCAGTGTTTCATCGTTCTTTCCCTAATCCTCAGCCAAAAGCACGCCCAAGAGAGCGCGGAGGATGTGCGTCGAGCCCCTCCAGGAGAGCGAGCTGCTGACGGACACCGCGGGCAGGAAGTGGAGGCTCACCAAGCTGCTTCGCCAGAGCGACTCGGAGCTTTTGTACGGAGGTGAGCGAGGCCGGAGCAGTGCAGGACATGACCTTTGTGCTCTTTCAGCTGACTTATTCATAATATACAGTACCAGTCCTTTACTGCCCCGCTGATCGTCAGTGTTGTCCTTGTGTCACTCTGAATAGTGCGAGATGCCAGTTTATAATGATATGTGAAGTAAAAGCTCAATTTGTTTTATACGTGTTGCTGTATGAATATAGTCATTTTAGACCTTGTTAAGCAGGGTTTGCTCATTTTCTAGCCTGAAGTTTAAATGGTATTTGAACTGTTGGAAATGAAAAATAAATCTCTGCTGTGGAATCCTTGTCCTTAGTCGCTCTCGCCTGACATACACTGTGCAAATAGAAACATGTTGATTTGATACAGGAAACTGTTGAACTTTGAATCATCCCTCTGTTTACCTCTTTAAAATAAAACTTCTGTTCCTTAACCTCTTTTCAGTTCAACAGATTACCACTGGAGCCCCCACAGCTGACTACAAATACACCCTCAAACTAGTAAGTACCCATTTCAGATGAGACATGGCAGTCTTGCAGTGAGAGACTGTTTAATGTACGCAGCCCTTTTCAAGAGCAGTGACTCTTAATTTCACTTCTACAGTATGTCTAGGGGTTATGTGAGCACTGTTTCTCACTGGGTATAGTTCTTGTAAGACCAGAATGACGGTTTTCAGTTCCTGTTTAATTCCCAGAAGGGAGTTTGTGTAATGCGTGTATTCCACTGTTCTGTTAATCTGACTGTTTCTTTCCATAGGCTGCCAAGGATGGAAAGATATTCAAAGAACAGAATTTCCTGCAGAGAGCAGCGAAGCCCACATTAGGCGAGTTTACCCCATTGTTTTTCTCAGAGGCAGTAGGTCACAGGACAGTATGTTAATGTGATATTTGTGCTGTTTTTTTTTAACCTCCAACAACAGATCTCTGATGAGGATCGTTGACTTGGTCACTGTCACTCTCATTAAGTTTTTGCAAAGCTAAATAACAGAGGGCTCAGCTGAGTAACAGGTCCATCTTCCTCCTTAATCTTCACAGGCTTACATACACAGTGTGTTTCAGACTTCTTGTGCTCTGTATATCATCCACCGGTGATGTTGGAATTTTGTCAAACGAAAGTTGTGTTTTTATTGGTTTTGTGTTCATCTGGTAGCAGAGATGCACGTTTGCAGTAAATGGGGTGGGTGTGTAATCATTTGACCACTTTGTTACTTGTTATAAAAGATGGACGGCTCATCTCTGGTTCTCTTTATTCCTGTTTGTAGTGGAAAAGTGGATGAAATGCCACAAGTTGAGTTTCCTTGGGATCCCTACCTGTGTGGGCTTTGGGCTTCACGCAGACACGTACAGGTATGCATGCGTGTGTAGAGCACAGAACTCGTATCAGAGAGGATGAGTGATTCTGCGTGAGGTTTCAGTACTGGAAAATCATTGCACCTGCATTCCTTATGCAAAATAAGGGAGTTGGATCCATTACACTGCTGCAGCTGAATCACAGTGGGTTGCAGTCTGATCATTTTGTTGCTCAGTTCTCCTCTTAAGTGAATGTGGCTCTTGATCCAGGAGGATATTATTGTCTCTTAAAGGCAAGCTGAGTTGCAGTTAATTTACTAAATTCGTTCTCTGTTAATTAAGTTTGTAGAGTTTTCACTACATCTACTCTACAGGCTGATTTCATGCCTACGTTTTGGTCTTTAAGTAATGCACAAAGTTGTTAGGATGTCTTGCATTACAAAACTCTTTGTTGGTCAGACCTCACTGCTTAATCCCCTTTAGTTTATGCCCATATAACCCACTGTTATCCTTATTATTTGTATTGTTCAGTGATGTGCAAATATGACCTCATAGATTTTAATTTTATTTTTTAGGTTTCTTATCTTCCACAACATGGGCCAATCTCTACAGTCCATCCTGGATGAGAAGACTCTGCTTCTGTCTGAGAAAGCTGTCCTTCAGCTCTGCTGTAGAATAGTGGGTACAGGAATGGCCAGATGTGTGGAGCTGTGCCATGTTAAAGGGACTCTGGAACTAAGAACAGTTTGTAGTACGAGACACAGTAGCAAAGACCAAAAGGAGCAGACGACAGATTAGCAGCGCGTGTTAGCTTGAATCACACAGGGTCTCTTGCAAATGCTGGTACAGGCTGGTGATCATTTCCGCCACGGACATGATATAGGAGGACTGGACAGTTCCCCTGTCTCACTGATAGCCACACCTAGTCCTGGAAGGCTATTATATGTTTCAAATTATGGATTTCTTTCCACTCAGTGCTTGATTTTATTTTAATATTTTTTTGTCTTAGCCTGTCTGTATTACCACTGTCTCCAGCTCTTCATTCATTGAGGATTATTTCTTAACCTCCAAATCCTGGTCCCCTGCAGCCCTCCAGGATCAGGAGTGAATATCATTGACCTATGCCTCGAAGGTGCTCGTTTTAATGTGGTGGCACTGTAACACATTTAACAGTGACAGAACATTCCAGTACATTAGCCGAATGTGGTACGAGGTAATGGTAAAACAGAAGCCGTTTTTAGCACTCTGTACGTGCGTGACACCAAGTGCTAGGAATGCATTCTGGGAATGTTTGTATTGTAGCAAATGTCAGTTGAATTCAGCTCATTTTCAAACATCAAACCAACCGGTTATCCTGTGTTTCTGCCATGAAGACTTCAAGGGCTAAAGGGATGCGGTATCGCCACAGGGGCTCTTCATTCAAGTAAGAATCGAGAGGTATCTTTTAAACTGCTGTGGTTGATTTCCAGCACAGGGCCATTGGGTGGTGCTAAATCCCCATAGAATGAACACACTGACAGCTCTGCTCTTCACAGTGCTCATAGCCTGACGTGCCCCTAAGCGCCTAGTCTTACTAGGGTGCTGTAGCAGGGCTGACAGTCTGACACACACCAAAACACACGTTTCTGTGCTCTTCTCTTTAGCTCGATGTTCTGGAGTACATCCACGAGAACGAATATGTTCATGCGGACATCCAGGCGGAGAATGTGTACCTGAATCCTGCAGAGCCCAAACAGGTAAGTGGACTCTCGGCACCAGCTATCAAGGGTTGTTGTTTTGTGGTTTTCTTCTCTGAGCAGGGAATCATTCAGTCTTTTGTGGACTCATATGACTGTCTTTTCATTCACTACTCTGCACATGAGTATTATATGATTAGGAAGAACAAGAAGAACAGAAACTCAAGAAATTGTTTGCTGTGATGCTGTCGAATGACTGTCACTCCACAGCCAAAACATCTTCTGCTTTTTCCTCCCTGTGACCTTGTGGTGAATTATTTGCCGCACATAAATGTGTTGTAAAAGCAGATTTAACCATTGGCTTCAAAAAGAGTAGCTTTGCTTTTGCAATCTATAGAAAAAAAAGGTCATAAAACCTAAAGATCATTGCAACACCAAGAGGTGGCACATCAAGAGCATTTGGATGCCAGTAGCTGGCTGATGTGAAATCATCCACCTGCTTCTTAAAAGAAGTTGGGAACAGCAGCTGTAGCAACATGGCTGTGTTGCTTGTTTCAAACTTTATAAAAAAGTTCCTCTTGTTCTCTGATGTAAGTGCATTTGCATAAGACTACAAGAGGTTAATTGTCGCTGTTTTCTGGCTCCAGGTGTACCTTGCAGGATACCACCACGCCTTCCGGTATTGTCCTGGTGGGAAACAGGTGGAGTACCGAGAAGGCAGCCAGACCGCACATGAGGGTGCTGTGGAGTTCATCAGCATTGATTCCCACAAAGGGGCTGGTGAGTGGTTTTGCTCTGTGCAGTGAAAGGGGTTGACTGTCGCCCTGAGCCCAGGAGTGGGTCAGGGAGGCTGTGAGTTTTCTGTGCTGCGCTGATGGTGTGTTTGTGTGAGGCTACTGTACACTTGGGCTCATCACGGATCTGTCCTCTTCCCCTGATGTACATTTGTCTATATGTTTTGCTGAAATGTACAAGGTGTATTTGCAGTACAGTGATCCAGTCCTCCCACCTCTGCTCTCTCACCCTCTGTTCCCAGGCCCGTCACGGCGCAGTGACCTGCAGGCTCTGGGGTACTGCATGCTCAAGTGGCATACAGGCACCCTGCCCTGGACACATCAGGCTGGCAGCCCCAGCAAGGTCCTGGCAGAGAAAGAGAGGTGAGGATCTCCCTTGTCCCAGACTGGCAGAAGGGTGCCATAGTTAACACTATTTACAGTATTGAAATTAGTTTCTTCAATGCAATCACAAAATATTGCACTCCAACCTTTTCACAGCAAAGACAATGGAACTTATCTCATTCTTCATGACTTTAGTTGTTTTTCCTCAGTTTTTGTTCTGAATGAATGCTACATTCTTACTGCTATTACATAGAGTCGCACTGTTTTTTTACTAGTGCTGCCGAGCGAGTTATAAAACGTTTTACCTGTAGGTCACCCTTATTGCCCCAGTCAAGGATTTAAACCCTCTTTAAAAGTGATTTGGTAGAAACCGACCTAATGCTATTTCTGTTGTTTAAGTTATCTAGAAAGATGCTTCTTTATTGTTACTATTCCTCATTAGGTATAAGGCTGATGTAGGAGGACTCTTGGCTCACTGCTTTGGAAGAAAAAGAGTTCCAGGTATTGTCTTTGGTGTCTCTTTCTCATTTCATCTAGATCAGTTCTTAGGTTGTACAACTCAGAAGACCAACATAACGTTTGCTTAGTACTATGAAAGACAGTGTAACTATACACAGTCATGTGTGCATGCTACGAATTGTTTAAGTTAAATACTATATGAATTGAATGTGGTATTTGCTGTTAAAAGAATTGTAACAATATTGTCAAGGTGCTCCGTGATCAACCCAGGCGTTTTCAATAAAACCTGGTAAATATATTGTGGAGTGGAGCTGACACACATCACTCAGGTGGACACTGCACCTCAGTGGATGATAAACCAAGCCCCTTCCGGTACATAAAGCATGTCGGGATCCTTTGTGATTAAAAGCTCTTTATACATGGAGTGAATTATAATTATATTGTGATGGATATTTGGGATACTGCTTCAGTTGATAAAAATAACTGACAGTAAATGTTGAAAGATAGTAGCTTTTATTATATATCTTTCTGCAAGTAGTTGAAACAATCTGACACCAAGAGAAAGAAAACCTTCCTGTTAAAAGGGCTTGGCCAAGCGGCTGTGTGCATAGGTCATGTGCTGTCTGTGCTCCGTGTGCAGCTGCTGTGCAGATATACCTGTCCCAGGTGATGGCTCTGCAGTACAATGAGAAGCCAGACTACCTGAGTCTCAGGAATCTCATGACGGATGCTCTGCAGCAGCTGGGGACTTCTCTTGATCAACCCATCGATGTCCAGGTGAGTAAAGCAGCACAAGGGGGTTTGCTGTGTCCTGGGTTTCTGCACTTGGGTTCTAAGCAGAGATACCCGGCACTGACAGAGCTCGCTTTCTCGGGCTTGTGTAGTAAGGTCAAGTGGAGACTAATGCATGCAGATACGATTGTTTTGACCTATAATCGTTGGACTGTTCCCACGAGTGCATATGTCTTACACATGACGCATAATGTCTTGAAGTGAAAGGGATTGGAGTACCTCTGAGTGCCAAGACATTCTAACTAGCCCACGATCTCTGTCTTTTCAGATCTGAGGCGGGAGAGGGCCGAGCCGCTGAGAGGAACATTCTCTGGAGTGCTCTTTTTTTGTTTAAAGATGTAATAACACTGTAATAGGAAATGTGAAGGCACACACTTGATTTTGATTCTTTTTTTCAAAAGGTTTGGGTGAAAGGTTCTCTAAAAAAAGCTGTTCTGAAAGTTATAAAAGTTAGTTTTTTTATTTTTTTTGAAAGAGCGGAAAAGAAGTGGGATCAGTGGATTAGCAGAATCCGTGACACTTGTAGGGCTTTCCGAGGTCTTGACAAGTACAGGCAGGTCAGGCGGGAGGCAGGTTGAGTCCAGGTCCAGATGTCACCAGTCTGTCATGAAATGACCCTGCCTGGGGTCCTGCCCTCACAAGCCACAGGGCACAGCTAGACAGGCGAGGCACCGCTGGATGATCTAACCAGACGCAACACTGAGCAGTTCTCCAGCACCTGCAAGAACATGAGAACGGGTACAAATGACCGGATCTATCCCACAAGGCACGGGTTCGTCAGTCCTGGTCCTGGAGGCCACACCCCTCCCACTTACACGTTTCTTCGAAGGAGTAAAAAAAAGGTTCTGAAAAAAGGAATGGTTCTCAATCAGCCTTCTGCGTGTTGGAATGAAAAAAGAGCAGGGCATTGTTTCAAAATTTCAAAACAGATGTTGTAAAAGGCAGGTTGCAAGGTTCTGAAAGGCAAACACATGAACAAAGTTCTAGAATTAAACATCCTTCTGCAAATTTTAGCAAAAAGCGGCATCTCTCTCTTTTTATGTTCATTTTATGATGTGAATGGAGACTCCTGCTATGTCAGGAGGAAACAACACTGAACAAACACTTTTCTTGCTAATGTGAACCCTTTGTGTTCTTGATGTACACGCTGAGATTTTTAACATTTACTGTATTTGTGGGGTTTTTATAGTTAAACTATTTTTGCTGAAAAGAAAATAAAATGTTTGAGTCAAACACACATTTGTTTAGGCTGCTTCTTTCTGTCATGAATAAAATAATTCTGCTCATTCTCTTCTGCCTAAACATGTCTCCTCTGTGCTGTAACTGTTCTCTAGAGCAGGGTGTCACGCCCACCAACAACTGTAATTCCAGGGCAGGGAAAGCAAATGACACATTTCGGGGTGTTTAATCCGATCTAGGATTAGGGCTATATAAAATGCTTTACTGTATATAATCTGACAAAGGGATCATATCGACCTACAGTACCAGCGAGTGAAAATCCGTGGCATATTGTTCTTCAGCTACATTCTGTAACTTTGTACAATAGCATTAACGTGGTTTCTTTCTGCTTTGTCAGCGAGGTCGGTCTGTTCTGTCAATGGTTAAGTTTAAAAGATGTGACAGGAGCTTTTTTCTCCTCTCTTTTTTTTCTCGTTTGCCGTGAAGTAATTAAAAGGGAGGTCGCTTTCGCTTGCTGTTTCCCAGTCACCGGCGGGGGGATTATACAGTAACTACTCGGCAGCTGTCCTGTTAATAGCCAGGGCAGTACAGCACCGCTGTGCGCTTTTCGGATGGGAGCTCTGAATACATAAACACCAGCTCTATAGGCTCGGCTCGAATCCGCTTTCCAGCAGACGGATCAAACACGGTGAATAACACAGCCTGCTCGGGATTTTTCCTCCAGACTGCTTTTTGCAGGTAGGGTGGTTATTTTGATGCGCATTCTCTCATGTTTGCTGTTATTCTTCCTTTGGAACAGACTGCCCGGGTTACTGTGCTGTGTGCCCTTAGTCCTTTTAGTTTTCCTTTGCAAAACTGTTCATTTTGTGTGTGTGAAAACGGTGAAAAATCTGTACGTCGTTTCTGATTGAATACTTGGGAGACCAGGCTGAAGTTGAATAAAACATACATTTTATTAAATAATTAAATAATGCAAACTCTTTTGGACGGCCTTCAGTTAAATACTTATATGTCACCGATAGAACTGACTTTGAAAAGTTACAAAGTAAAATCATTCTAACGGTGAAGGAAAATGACATTAACACAATGCGAGTTAGTTGCTTTATATAAATATGCGTGTTTTGCGTACTTTGATGCGTTATCGAAGGGATAATATTCCTCATAAATATTCGCAATTTTAAGGTTCTAACATGTTGTGGTTGTTGACGGCTGCGTTTAATTCGAGAATGTAAACTTTGCGTAATAGTTTGACGTGGTAGTGGAGGTGAAGGATGCGAGAATATAGAAATGGAATAGAGTTGCTTGTTTGAAACGTTTGCGACGATTTTTATTTTGTTCCAATCGCAAATTAAAACCCCCATTTCGTGCATTTTTTTTTTTTTATTGCTACTTCGTTTTGATGATTGATGCTGGGGATGTTCGCTTTGCTGCAGTCAGGAAGGGACCCGGTAGGTTCTGAGCAGGACAATGCACTGGCGGCCGGACAAGAGCCACATACCTCACCCTGCTCTCCGCGCTGCGTTCAGCAGGTGAGGTTGCCAGGACGACCGAGAGCCCGGGGTAAATGGCTGCGACATACAGTAAAGTGTTGCGCCTTGGTAGGTGGGGGGAAGGCGCCGGGGAGCTGTCCGCTCCGGGCCGGCGCCGCGGACGCGCCCTTGGTTGGTTGGTGTGCGCCAAAGCCCGCTTTTGGTAATCAGAAGTTTCAGTTCAGTTTCAGGCAGGGGGGTATCCACGTTTCAGCCTGTTGAGACGGCTCTCCCCGCTGTGACACCACCCCCATGAATTGTGGCTTCACACCACGTAGAGACGCAGTTGACGACTTTTAATGTTTTAAAGGTCCTGGTAACGGGTCCGTCATTTCAAAGAGCGTTTCTGATCCACTAGCTTTCCGATGCATTATGAATATTTTATCACTGCAATTCATTCGTGCCATTATCTTTAACTGCTCATGTTGTTGCAGAACTATCTATCCTGATGGAACACGGCAGATGTTCTTAAGTGAATGAAAAAAAAGACTAAGTCCGCTTGCTTTCACAGTGAATTTCATTCAGAAGAGGCAGAACGAAAATCGAGACCACGTCCTCTGGTGTTCCTCCTGTGCTCTTGCGGTGTCCTGAATGCGCATGCTGACCTTCAGTCGTTTCTGACTCTGGAGGGCTCATTTTCGTTCCCAGCTGGGCGCATTCCTCCCACGCCTGACATTCCAAAGGACGGCCACTGCTGTCCTCCCAGGCAATTAATGTTTGCCCGGGCCTTTCGGTGTGTTACTGAAGGAGGGTAGGGCCTGGAGGCTGAGAGGAGGGCAGTCTCGCCGGCTGTGGAAGGGAACTGCCTTGGTCTGCTTTCAGGCGTCTTTCCCCACCAGCGCTCAGTACTGTGGGAGTGAATGTGTCCTGCAGTGACTGTTGTTAGTAGTCGGCTCAGCCAGCCTGTAGAGACAGGTTTGCTACAGGATGCCATAGATCACATTCTAATGGGGGGTTAGGTACTAGCTGATTGAATGGCACCCGGTATCCAACCAAACTAGATAGGGGCCTCTTCTTATGTGCAGCCTTTAATGTATTGTTCTATTAAAGAAAACTCTGAACAGCAAGGAAGAAGTTCTCATAGAGCACAGATGAGAAGGATTTGTAGCACAAGGAAACCTTGCAGATATTTGCTCTGATTTGGTTGAAGGCACTGTTGTTTGTTATCATTACAAATCATGTCATCAGTCTGCTTCTGTCCCCTGTACGGCACATATCGGGCAGTAGGAGGGTGTGTTTGACAGCTGGTGCAGAACGGCTGCCATCTGTCACCCAGGTGAGGTCAGCACCCCCCTGGTGGACAAAATGACTCCACCCCCCCCCCGTGCGCAATTTCGTAACTCGCCAAACTGAAGATCTACAGCAAGAATGGTCAGATCACAAAGCCTCAAAGGATCAGTTATTGAATGTTTCATGGAAGAAGAAATCCGACAGACCAACGTGGAATCTTGAGCATGTACTGAGCTCCCTCCTGCTATATCAAAGATGTCCAATATCACTGATGTGTTGTGACAAGTTCCAAGGTCCTAGCTGCAGATATAAATAAAAAAGCCACACATGTGTTTTATATCTAGACTTCTTGGCATGTGTTCATCTGTACCGCTACACAGTCACACAGAAATGTGTTTGGATCACTGGCTGTTAGAACAGAACTCAGGAGGTCTGTGCAAGTAAGCAGAATTTAGTAGAGAAATGGGGAAGCCATGAAGGAATCAGTAGAGATTAATTTCAAAGTTGACTAGACTCCTCAAGAAGGCTCTGCATCCCGAAATGTTGCTTTTCCACCTTTACTGCTTTACACCTGGGGGTTAATCTCTGTGTGTTGCCAAGCTGGATTTAGCCTGGAGGGCAAGAGCATCTGTTTCCAGACCTTGTGTTTGTTTGCAAACTTTGATCCCTGACTCTGTTTTCCTTCTCTGTGAGTTGGGGCGGGCAGGAATGACTGGACCTTACAAATCATTTACCCACCCTGTGCCAGGCGTGCTGAAGTGGGCAAATCATCTAGTAAGCAAAAGACATTTCAGAGGTCAGAGCAGAGAACCAGCTCACAGGTGTGTAACCAGATATATGTGAGTAGACATATCCCAGTCAGCATATACACACTGTCAAATAATAGGTTATCCGGGAATGGTTCACGGGGAATGTTGGGGTTTCAGAAAGATGCTTATCCCAAAACAAAAGGGGGCAACATGGGTCGATGCCCTGAACTGGACACCAGCCCATCAGGAAAGATGGGGGACACACAATGAAGCACACAGGGACAACTCAGACACCAGTTAGCCTAGCCTGCATGTCTTGGGAGGATATGAGGAAAGCAGAGCACCTGGAGAAAACCCATGCAAATGTAGGGAGAACATGCAAACTCCACACAGGGGGTACACCAGTCCATAATCCAGGTCGGGACTGAAGAGCTGTGAGGCATCATCTTACTGATATTTTTGAAGAAAAGACTAGTTATCCTTTACAAATTCCTAAAAGGAAAGCTTTATGAGATGATTTTCACTGTGTTTTTCATAAACTGTTTGCATTCTAAAAGCTCATTGTTCCTGGTAGCGCAGTGTTTGTGCTTGAATGGTCTGTGGAATATGTTTGGCTCATTTCAATGTATACACACAAATAAAAAAAAACCTCCACAGGAAAGAGTCCATTGTATGAAAGAGATAAAAATGATTACGATCTGCAGAACAGAAGGAAGTGTTTTTTAGTGCAGATGGGCTGTGGGCTTGTTTGTGTAGAGGCAGCGGTCAGGGCCTGAGTGGTGCCCTCCTTCCTGTCTGAAGGGCTGCCAGCACCAGGAGGGGCTAGTCTTTTCCCAGAGCCGCAGACCTGACATCCTCATTCAGGAATGGAAATAGGAGTCCCATTGCATGGCAGCCTGAGCTGTTTCTTGGGTTTGTGAGTTACACTCCTGGCCGAATTGTAGTGATCAAGCAGAACAAGCCAGCATATTTGATATTCTAACTCCCTAACTCTGTCAATACATAGAACTAAGAATAAAGAAGTTAGTCTTTTAGTCCCACTGCTTGTACAACAGTCTGCAGTTGGCAACACCAGAAATGGCTCAAATTGCCATGCAACGGGAGTCTCAGTTTCATCCCTGTTGACTAAACCTGTGATCCATGGAAGAGGGGATGACAGGGACAAGATGAGCACAGAATCCAGTACCAATGTATAAGACATCAGTGGGAAAGAAATGTGTCTTGGTCTCGCCTCTACAAAACAGCAATATTTGACAAAGCGGACTCAGAGGCCCAGCTAAAGAAGAGGACGAGGGGTTAAACCTGTTGGCATGCAGAGGGAGAGACAGGGAGAGAGCCACGGGCTGAGGGAGAGACAGGGAGGCACCCATGGGCGGAGGAAGTTTGCAGAGCACAAAATCCAATTACCTCAGGAACATGAGGAACTTTATTTACTCTCATTAGACTAGGTAAGCTGACAGTATTAAGGGCTGTCTACCTTGCAGTTAAAGCAGCTGGTGCAAGTTGAGGAGATCAGGCTAGGACTCTCTCTAGTGTTGCTCTTCATTCTC